GTACAACCGCTATCTATCATTGATTATATTAGATTAATTCCTGAACGTGATTTCTAAAACAACGACATATATACAACTGCTGAACATAATATCCACTGGATTTGTTTATATTCCCCTCAGAAGCATATTTTCAATTTGAGATATTCCTCTGATCAAACTGGATAGGTGCGAGCAGATAAGATACGGTTAAAAATAATGCACCGGTGTTAACAAAATTTACAGCATTCTAAGCTCTAGCCGTACGCCAGCTGTTATCGTGCCGCCATTAAATTCAGCCATTTGGAACCAAATTAATTTTCTATCAAAATTAAATTGCCATTCGACTATATTTGCAATGCACGATAATCTGGTATATGCAAACATACACGCGTCTTATTGATGAGAACAGCAAAAATAATCAACGGATAGGGTATCCGTTTTCAAATCGTAAATGGTAGTCGATAGAAAAATAAATGGAAAACGTAAAAACACGATTAGCACCATACTAAACGCTTTTCATGTACGCCATTCAAAGCTACTTGTTTTCCTCCATGATTCTAACTACTGACGCTCAACTTTACCACTATATATTATAGTGGTTATATATTTAGAAGATTAAATTCGCATTAATAGTTACATACTCATTAACGTGGTCAATATGTAGTATGTATTGGATTTTTGGAGTAGATGAAGATGTGTTTGTTTTCCTTCGTATATTAAATATGATGTGAGGCTAATTGGAATTATGCAACTATCCTGAAGCTGATAGAAAGATGGATCAAAATTCAATGTACCTTCCTTGGTATTTTAAAGGAAGAATCCGTTATTTCATATTATAAATATCGACAATATTTTTTGGACAATCTAGGTAATAGAAACAAGTAGAACTTATAGGAATTAACAAAATGATGTTAATTACATGAGGAATTGTTTCACACAGAGTTAGACAAACTCTGGGTAAGAAGGTGAAAATCAAAACTACATTTGTAATGCTAATTATGAAGAGGTCCTGAGACAAGTTTTGCAAAACTAGAGTTTTGCTTTTGGGTAAGACAGAAAACTAATCACAACTACAAACTCAAACTGATAAACTTTCTGCCACTTTGCGATGGTTTTACATTATCTTAATTTAATTGTATGTAATTCAAAATAAACGACGTTCCACAATGGCAGATAGAGTGATAATAGTTCACTCTGTACACTTTCTTCTCTGATCCCATTTCCATTGGAAAATGAATTTCGAAACTTGGCAAAATTGTAAGATTGATAGTAGGTGTTGAACTAAAATTAACAATGAATCATGCAGCACTGAAACAAAACAGTTTTATGTATTAATTTATGCGTCATTGCTTTCTACGTTATTATAAAAGATATTACCTATTTTATGTTGAGAAATCCTCAGGAAACAAAGAATTAAATAAGAGTAAGAGCTCCAATCTAGGTATAATACACTTAAATTCGTCAGATCTTGTGTTTTACTGATAAACTCCAAAATATTAGAAATAAATTTTACCTATGAAGATCGTGACATTACTTGTTTCTCCTCTAATACTTCACACATGAGCAATTCACAGACAAAAGTGACTGAAACTTCTTAAATTTTGGTACTAAAGTATTTTGGAGTCCAAACGTAATCCAAAGCTAACCTACACCAAAGTATTTAATCAATGCTTAAATTCTTATATTAAAAATAAGTATAATTTTTGTATCGTGAAGGTAACCAATTTGAAAAAATTCAGTGTATTACAAGAAAATTCACCTAACCAAATGATTATGATTTTAATTTCTTAATTTGAATGAAACTATATGAATATGTATATCATAACAGATTATACATGCAACAATCATTTATCTAGATATAAATTTGTAATAGTACAAGACACAACAAACCTCCTACAAAAAAAATATTTAATTTTAAATACTCTATCGTTGTATAGCGACAAAAATTCTAAAAGGAAAATATAATCAGAGCATAAGAAAATACTGAACCTTGAGATCAAGTTTGGCTCCTTTAACAAAATTTCCCGCCCATAAAAGAATTGCTGCATGTATTATGCTCCATTATGCTCTACACATGCACAAACTTTAATCTCAAAATTTTCTAATTCGAAGAATTTCCTTGTAATATACCGTGTTGATACAATTTTTACCTACGGTATGCCCGGTTAAGCGACATATGTCCGGTTTGTAGTCGTGATATGGTCGACGCATAGAACCGACGCTCAAGAGTTCCGAATAACTAGTTTCTAATTGAAATACGTAGACGCCGATGACAGAGGAAAGTCAGCGCGAATAAACTGACCCGAAATGCGCAATCGACGGTAACAATCTTTTCCAAACAGCGTACCTGGTCGTACCCGCTTACCCGCCACGATAACAAGTATCTGATTAAATTTATGTAATGCCGTGTTACCATGTTACCGTGGAATTACTTTGATAACCTACTGTGATAACGTCATGGTATTAAAGTCACTGTCACTCGCAAAATATTTTTACGCGACATAGACGCGAGCTGTCGTTTGAGAGCGAATTCAAAACAAATCATGACTGCATACGCCCGGTTTTCCAAGAAGTCGCTGGTTGCGTCGTTTCTCGAGCACTCTGTACCCAAAAAAAAAATTGGAGTAAGAAATTTCGAGGGTATGAACAACAACAATCCAAATAAACCTTCAATACGTACGTTCGTTTCTCGTAATATCAGTTAAAAATATTAGCTGAAAGAAATAAAAACGTCCACAGCCGACATTACGCGGGAAAGAGAATAGAAAGAGATGGAGTGATAAGCGTGAAGTTGTCCACGCGAACGCGTGTCCCGACGGCGGCAACGTCAGAGTCGTGGGAGACGAGAAAAAAGCAGGCGTGCGGTACCGCGCGCAACGAGACATTCGCGTCACATCACACACGTGCGTATGCAGAGGCATACACGCGTAGTTAGGCATACGTACACATAGAGACGGACACACGAGAAACGCAGTCGCATGCAAGTGTAGATTCGTACATACACAAGCGCACGATTAAAAGAGAAACTCACTCCAGAAATAATGCACAGTATCCATCCAAGTCGCGGTGGTGAAGGTAGGGTTTTGCTTGTCCTGGATTATTAAGACTCGAAAGAGCGCGACAAAGCGTAGAGCGTCGCGTTTAAGTTCCTCGAACGTTTATCGTCGTGGTGATCGTCGTTGTCGTGACCGTGGTCGTAGTCGTAGTCGTCGTCGTCGTCGTCTTACGACGACGACAACATACTTTCGTACAAGCTTCCCGTCTAAATATTTCGTTCCCGTATCTTTGCACTGGGGCACTCACTGGCCGAGCAACGAAAACGCACCGCGCTTCACGATAAGCACCGTATACATTCCCCACGAATATATTTCGCGCCGAGCTTTTCCCGCGTTTAGTTTCGTTGACGCACACGCGGCGAAGGTAACGCAGACAGAGCGAGACGGAGAGAAACGCACACACATATAACACGCGAGAGCGGTGGAGAAAGAGCGGGGAAACAGATAGAGAGAGAGCAAGAAAGAGAAAGAGGGAGAGAGGGAGAGAGAAAGAAAGATAGATAGAGAGAGAGACAGAAAGAGTGAGCGAGAATGACAGAAAAGGAGAAAGACACGTAGACGCACGTTACGTTGGGAGCAATGGAATATGTGCGAACACTTCTCGCTTGGTCCCGCCTAGGGGAAAGAAAATCCGTCGCTGCCACCACTGCTCCACCTCCAGAGTCTCGTAGAAGCCGTGATATATGTATAACGCGGAGTGCGTGTTCGCGCGCGCACAGTTTTCAAAACAAGAGACACCGGTATAGACGACAGCCGGTTTAAGGTTACTATTTTTCTTTTTTCGATGTTTTCTCCGTTTGTTCGTTCGCTTTTCCTATCCACCGTAAATCGCTCTCTTCTACTCGCGCGGTTTTTCCGCACGCACACGCCGCCGCGGATCAATAATTCACCATACGAATTCACCAGAAGCGGGTGAGCGAGCGGGCTGGCACGCAGGCACTAGGCAGAGGCACACGTTTCTGTCGTGGCGCGCTCTCCTCGGAGAAACGCACGCAGCCCACCACCACCGGCACACCGCCGACCGATCGCGCTTCGTCCTAACCTCCTCGACGAGCTTCGTGCTGGCGAATCCGTACACGTTGCCAGAGAGACTGCACACGCTTCAGTAACACACATACACAGACCCGTTGCGTTCTCTTGACACACAGCTGACACAACGCTCGTAAACACGCGACAATCGGACAAAGACAGATGCACCGATGCACCACCAAACCGCACGGATAGATGCGATAGACCGGCACAACTCGAGCTCTTCGTTTATCAAACTGATCCGACTATCGTTTCATCGCTCTCTCTGTCATTCTCTCACACACTCACTCTCTCTCTCTCTCTCTCTCTCTCTCTCTCTCTCTCTTTCTTTCTTTCTCTATCTCTCTCTCCCTTTCCTTTCGATCTTTCTCTCTTCCTCCTATCCTTTCTCTCGCACTCTTACTCACTCGCACATTCACATATACTCCCTCTTTCTTTCTCTCTCTCAAAGCAATAGTAAGAACGGAGTACCACTAGCAGCAACACGGGGCCAGCAATGCGAACATCACGGTCACCGGAAGTACGAACCTGACAATCACGACACACGAGGAATATACGAGGGATCGGTAATATTTTTTACCGATGCAAAGACACAGTCAACCGGATAACGTCGGCACGCATATACACACGTTCACGCACTCTGTCGCGTTTATCTTCTCTTTTCCTCTGTAATATTTGTCTTTATCGCACGGTCGGTTTGTCCGTTCGTCTCTTTCTTTCGCACAAGCGTCTATTGCTCCCTCTGTCTCTCACTCCCTTTCGTCCGTCTGTCCGTCTGTCTGTGTCCGACGGTGTGTATATCGCCGTCGTCGCTGCTGTCGAATCCGTTCCATGCGCGGCCCCTGTGTGGGACGACGCCGCTGGGACACACGGGCGTGGACGAGTAGACGCGCTCTTTCGAGGATGTTTCGACACTATTTTCTTTAATGTACTTACCACTGGGCGAGCTGACGTGGCGTCGCGCGCGCGCGGAGCCTTTACACCACGGGTAAAATTCGCACAGTAATATTAGCGCGCAAGGCTGCACCCCGGTAAATACGAGCGCAGTCACCACTCTTGTTTTTGGTATGCCAGGAATGGCACAAAGAATCTAGACAACGCACACGCCTGCTGCGCAGCCGGTCTGCGCACACGCTGACACCGCTTATGCGGCCGCGGGAGAAACCAGAAGCCGAGCATAGCCGACAATGTACGAAGAACGCCGAACTCGACCGATCATCTACCCCCACTACATCGTACGGAACCGTCGTTTCCCCACTCCCCGCGCGGGAGATCAGTCGCGTCACGCACGTAATAGAGGTTGGATGTTGTTGCTCGCTTACTCGTTTATTCTCTCTCGCTCAAGTTTGAGAGGCACTTGTTGAATTTCAGGGGTTACGTTTTAGGTTTTTCGAATAAACCTTTTGATAAATGGCAACGCACGAACTGGCCGACCACAAAACGACTACCTGCCTCTATACTATTCGCTTTTTTATACGCAATCTGATACTAAACATATATCGAACAATATCGTTGTGTATTTACACGTAAAATATGCTTTTCTATCTAATTCATTTCACGATCTTTTGCTTTTTCATTTTCTACGGCTGCTACCTTGAAAAATACCTCCTAATAAAAATTCGTTTGAAAAAATAATAATCCCTCGCCTAACTGATTGTTTGCGTTAGATTCTATAACAATCCTATCATTTCACGATACAAAAACGATTCGCTTCAACGACGATCGCATGACACCTGACGTTTCTGTATATAAACTAGTTCACGTGCACTTTTTTGGTAGCAGACTGACTGGAGCCATTTGTGTACTTAACGGATTCAAGGGATTAACCGACGGTAGCTGTGTGCGAGACATAACTGACCCAGTGCAAGTGCACTGGCTTAAGATTACCAAAGTGACGTTCATGCTCTATTCCATGGAAAACAACCTTTCACCCATCGTCACCCTTCAAGTTACTTTTCTTTTATACCTGTGTTGTAATTTTCTTTGGGATCTATTCCTGGACTTCACGCCTTCCTTTAGGCTTTTGTTCTAATTTCAAGGTCTTTGTGTATAGGATTTTCAATGGGTAACTCGTAAACTGCAGCATAAGCACCTTAAATCATGTTTACCGACATAAACAAACAAAATGGCCGCCTATCAATCGAATTATGCATTCCAAGTCCTAATTTTATAAAAAATAATGTTATATTACAAAATTACTAACTGCATATTTCAATGTTAACTAGATTTATACTTACTAATAATTGATTAACAGTAAGAGTTGCTTAAATGCGATGATCACAAACAAATTCTAAAAAAAAAGTGTATATTAGAATATAAATTATTTAATTATTAATTACCTTTTGCCTAACTTACAAAAATTGAAATTGTTCGATATTTTATACATTTGCAAGTCTGAATCTTTTGTATCGAAGATACATTAATACTTAAATTCCAAAATGTAAATTGAATATATACAACTTTATCAAACTAGTTGATTGTTTACCTGATCGGTAATAAACTTTCTACTTTACCTACTGAAGGCAATTGTAACATAGAATCTTGTCGAAAGAAAGACGATAGAAATCTTTTTCGATATGTTGCCTAAATCATTGCTAACACGAAATATATAACGACAGAAATTGAATAATTACGCATTTACGCGTAATCATAAGAGAAACGATAAAACATTAACCAAATTATTATTGAACATGTGTACACAACAAATTCATAATAATAAGGTAATGTATAATAAAGGTTCACTGCAGAAGGGAATAATAAAAGATTATTATGTAAAGTTACCTTTCAACGAAGAAGATTAAACCAACAAATATGTATTAAACTCTTGGCATGTATATGCTCATATGTCATATTGTACTCGTAATTGAAACCACTAACCTAGAAATACTTTCCTTATCGAATTCATCCCATTTCTAACGTTTCACACGTCTGTGTAGTAAAAATTTGTTACGATTTCATGTCTTTGAGAGAGAATCGAAGAAATCGGAAACGCCTAAAATGTAACCCCAAATTTGTCAACGAGATATCATATACATAGAAAAAATTACACACATACCATTCATCTGTTTCATTCTCGAGCAGAAATATCAAACAATCATTGCAAACACTCACATATCTCACTCAAATAAACGATACAAAAGATACAATAAACGATTACACGACATTCACATCCATTTGCAGTACGTTGAACGCGTCCTATGCAGGTTTCAACACGCTTAACGGAAACTTCAAAATGATTGGTGCACAGAATAGCGCGGAAAAGAAAATAAAGGATGCTATGTTTTTTGAACCGTTGATAGGTGGGAGCAGTCGCGGTCGCTATCGTTCGATGTGTGCATACGTCTGGCGTTTATCGGTGAGATTTAACATGACAAAACGCTCGTGAAATCGAATGTCACGTATCAAAATGACGTTCAAAGCGTGCCTTTTGCAGGGAGACAAAAGCGGTCGTAATTAATGCTTTTAAACGTGCGCGCTGTACTGCACAAGCTCCTTTTGTCAGTTGGACACATTGTGCTCGACAAATGTTTACGAACGACCACAGAGTAGCAGAGCGTGCACGGTGACAGTGGCTGTCGCGCCGCGGGGCTGAAACGCGCAGTTTTCGTGCGGGTTTTCAGCGAATGCGACACATTGAATGGGAAAGGCACGGTCCGATTTCACCCGCGAGGTTTAATTACTTAATTACGTTAACGCTCGATTTTCGTGACGTGTCGACGAGCCACGCGGGCTAAACGATTCCGTTAGTTTCACGGCAATTTCGTGCGCAGTTCTCTTCACTCTCGATTAAAGTATGACCGTGCGATACGCATTCGTAAATTCGTTTCGCGGCATTTTGCGTTGAAAACCAGAAAGCTTGCGTCTGCAATAGATTTCAGATTTTCTAACGAAAAATATAACATCTTGTTTTACGATAACCTTCGTGTTATATGAGATATCACGATTTAACTTGTAAATAGAGTAAGTTGATTAATCTCTAATAAACTGATACGTAATATTTACGAATAATCTATATAGTTGTATGTACCGTAACATTTTGCGTAGTAAATATTTTTTTAAATAATTATATAATATAAGATATTAATTATAAATTAATTTATACATATGTATAATAATTTTTAGGTTATTTGGTTACTGAAGGAGTAATTTATTTTTAAAATTTGAAAAAATAACGAAATTATAAAAACATCGTACAGGAACATAATTGAATTTAATATAGTCGTTTATCAAGTAAAGTAAGTGTAAAATTATTTATAAATTAAGCAATCAAAAATATTAAAAGTTTATTTTCCTTTATTCACATTTAATGTTTTATCTTTTTACTTTATAGGTTACTGTTTCAAAAATATTTTAAGGAACTATCATATCAGGTCATTTAAGTTTATAAATATTTAATAAAATCCTGTATCATCATTTCTTGCAACAGATAAGATGTACTTTCCACATCCTTTTTCTAGTTTGAATTAGAGAAATTTGTGCATTTGATTTATTATACTGTCATTAGTAATTTTTATCACATTACACGATCAAAGATCGCAATTACTTTTGCACATGTGTCAATCACTGGTGACCTACGAAATTTCAACAGAATATTCGAAAATTAATTTTTAAGATTATATATATACACGTCGTTTTTCCATCATTAATTCTGCATTTTTCAATTGAGTTTTATTAATCTTATTTTATTTTTTTCTTGCTAATCAAGGAAATTTACTTTGTTTTAATGCCAAGAATTCTCTATGAATTCCATTATTTGCGATCAAACTGACAATTATCTTTCTTCCCAGGGTCTCCATTTATTCGAGCTATTTCGGATGAAGCATATGCGGCACGACTGGTATGTTGTGAACCTCCCTTAATGTCGATAGTCGTAAAGTCATAAAACTTCCGGTAGTGCTCGTTTGCACGATCAAACGAAAGGCGCTAATTCGAAGATGCCAGTACAATAATATTGGTTGTAAAAAGGATGATCATTTCCGTGATTGTAATTTTATCTCTGTACTAAACTGTCATTAAAAGTAAATTGAATTAACTTTTTCATAATTATACTTTTGATTTTAAATTTTCCTATATCATATTAAATGCGAAAATGTATAAATTTATGTATTTCAATGAGCTTGTAATTTTATAATTAATTTTATATTACTAACGATAATGAATAGTAGAGTCTTGTAGTAAAATCTTCTGTATTTAATTATTGTTTCAATTATAGTTGTCGATATACTACAATTGCTTGATAATAAATGAAATTGAATACCTCATTCATGAAAAAAGTTTTCATTTATTAAACTTAATTTTTCTGATTTCAGATGTTCTGTGAAAATGCAAATCAAGTCCTATTGCTTGTCTTCAAATTCTCTATGTCCTACAAAAGCAGTACCATTAACAATTGGAAATTTGCGCGATTGATGTTTCAATCTTAATTAATGGAGTTGCAGTCTGGAAAATGTATCAGTAAACTCACGTTAGAATTCTAAAATTAAATGAAAACTTGTACATGTGATTACAAATACCACGCTAAATGGCGTTATGCAACGATGCATTTTACATTCAGACGTATCTCTCTAATAACACCAACCAGTATTTCTATAAAAGTTCATCGACATTATCGATTACACCTGAGAGCTGCAAAAAATGTTTGCAACGTCGTAAATTAATCGTTCTAGAGTTTCTGTTACACTTTCATATCTTACAACCACAGTTGACGAAATCACGTATACAGTAGCTACGAATAAGCAAGTCATCTTCAAAAATGATCATCGAATTGTATGTTTTAGATAAAATTGAGAAAGCGTGATTAATCATTTTGATTAACGATAATCATGCATTATAATTACAAGACATGTGAGTACTATTTTTCTTCTTTTAATAAATTCTGACATGTTTTATATAATATAAAATTTTATGGTTGGCTAATGGAGTTTTAATTTGTTTTAAAGCAGTGGACAAATTGGTGAATATATGTTATTCTGCTGTTATCGTGAGTGCATCGATATTTATGAGAATTTTTTGTGTGTGTAAATTTGAAAGTTGAATGTAATAGCATAGTACTTGTTACATAAACTTATTAAGTTGGAACTGGAGCAAACTTGAAATTATCATTTCACGAAAGTTACACCTATTGTTCCTGCATTGTTTGAAACTGCACCACAGGACACGAAAGCTGGCCAATTCCAGTTCTAGCTTGGATTTGTGACGTCGCGACAATGGCCAGATTAAATTCGGATATCGCGTTGGTGAGGCAATCGTTCACTGAAATTATTATCAAAATTTTAATCTCTTTACAGTCTTTAGATTCTAACGAGTAGTAAAAGTTTCAAAATAATCACATTTGCACAGCCTAGTTTATTCTATCATGAAATTATATATAATGCCACAATTTCCCATGATTTTTAGCACATCGTTTATGAAATTTCTATATAAAACAATTTTAACAGCAATATACAAATACGATTTTAGATATGTAATAGAAAAGAAGAGTAAGTCAGGAAAAACCGTAATAAAGAATACAACCTATTTTTAAAACTCGAGAGGTATTTTGAAGAAATTTTAAGAAAAAGACTCCGAAAGGAAAAGTAAGATTTTATAAAAGCGTCCCTGTTCCATGGATGATACGAGAATTCCTCGAATGCGCTGTTCACGCGATATTTTAATACTTTTGTAGCTTGTCGTTCGCGCAAGTAAATCTTCGCTGTGATAAGCTCTGCCAGGAATCTCACCCCCGCAAAGCATCCGCCGTTTATAAGAAATGTTTTCAAAGTTTATGAGGTGATGCGATGGTTCGTCGTTGGTATGGATCGAACGCTTTTACCCCTTTCTTTTTAAATAACAAAATCGACAAGGAAAATGCGGCAGGCGTCGTAAAATTTCCAATAAAAATTCCAGTAGATGAAAAATCGTCGCAAAATAATGTAACAAAAATTTTCTATCGTAAATATTCTATATCTCATGTATTTTTCATCTTATTGTATCATATCATATGACATTATTTATTATATTTATAGTAATTACTAAATAATTTTATTATTTTTTTATAGATATAAGAAATAATGGATTTTCATATGAACTGATACACAATTTCACCATAAATTGACAAGTTAATGAATTAACTAGATTTTACACATGGAAATTAAAAATTGACAAACGGGTTGAATACTATTTATTCTTTCAACACGACAATGTCAACTATGAAAGAAAATAGGGCTCACAAAGAAATATTTCTTATGCAAACAAATTCAAGTGAAGAATGGACCCTATAATCAAGATGAAAAAATTTCTAAAAGACCATATGCAGAATGAAATCCTCACAGCGATACAATGCAAACAGGTAAACAAACCTTCTCTAATTCTCTCCAAAGATGCGTTTCCACATACGAGCAGTTTGCAGAATTAATTAACATATCCCTATTATCGCATCGATCAAGAAGGAAACCGAAATGGGTCATTCTCTATATCAATACGTCATACGCTTCATCAAAATAATACATCACTCGTGACATACTCGAAGCAAATTCCGACCACTCCAGCACCCTTGGCAAATACATTAACCCAATCAAAACGACTCCACAAAAGACTCGAAACACCCCATCACGTCCAAACTATCGACCTCAGCCTTATCCACTCCTTCGCTAAATTCGCCGACCCCTGAACCCTTTTCAACCTCCGGCGACCCTTTTAAACTTCCACCCCTGGTCCTCAGAAATAGCCGAGACATCGCGAGACACCGATCTCGCGACCGATCTCGTTCCCTTCGAAGGAGAACGTGGCACGGAGGAGTGGTGTGGGTCGGAGGCGAACGAGCCGAAGAAGACGTAGGAAGCATAAACGGAGGAGGAAAGGAAAGGAGGCGGCTGCGGAGGCGGCGACGACGGCGTCGGCGGCGACGACGATGACGACGACGGTGGTGGCGGCGGGGAGACGCGTAGCTCACCTGGCATACCAGCAGAGTATCGCGACACATTTTGATCGAATTCTTCTCGAGGTCGAGGAATGCTGGTATCTCCGGTAGATATTATTACATATTTAGGTGGAACGGTGCGCTCCCGGAGGTAATACACTTAGACGTATTCTCTCTCGGTGCGCGTTGCCGCTGATGCCGGTGTTAGTGACGGTGTTACGTAGGTATTGGTGCCGGTGGATAGGGTGACGACGATGGTGGTGGTGGCTGGCGGTGCAACGGGGGATATGTATCTAGCTTTACTCGCGCACACCGCTCTATAACCGTGCCTCTGCTCCGACCTCGAAGGATCGCAGTTCTGCGCGATATCCTGCATATCTCGGCATACCGTCCTCGTCGTTTCCGACATTGTTCCCCGGCCCCGGCCCCGACCCCGGTGTCCCGGCTCCAGCTCCCGATCCACCGGCGAATAATCCTACTCGTTCGACGTCTACCGGGCCCGGCTTCTCAGCTGGATTCCACTCGATTCTGGTACCGTGCTTGCAGCCCCGAGAACCCGCCACTGTCCATAATAATTGAACGGTTTTTCGGTTCGTCTTACGTAGATACTACGTTGAGCAGCATCGAAGCTTTCGATTCAGTTCAGAGGGAGTAATTTGCGGTAAAGGAGCCTTTTGTATAGCAGTTTGGGTTTTTGATTGGTCCGATGGTAAATATGTTTGGGTGATTGGTTCATTGTTTATTTAGGTGGACGACTGTTAGTAGGGAAACAAAATAAGGGACCGTGTTTGAGAGTATTTTATTTCAATGAGTTTGTATGGGTAATTGTCCGTATGTTTATATGATTTGCTTGTTTTGTGTTTCAGGTGGAATGAATAATGGTATGGAGAGCGAATGAGAAGAGAGTACAGTGATTTGATAAAATTTGGAAATAATGAAATGGAAGTTGCTTAGATGAAATAATATGAAGATTTCTCAAATGCCCACCTTGTAAAAATAGGGTATAATACCAAGAATAAAGAAAAAGAAATAATAATCAGGAATTTCAATTGCATTTAAAATGCAGAATTCTTCTATACAGGTCCATTTGTTTTCCTATAATACAGAATAAAACTGAATTCGACATAAAATTAAAATTGAAGTATTTATAAAATATGATATCAAGTATTTAATTTTTAGGTCCAAAGAGAGATTCTAAATATGAAAATTGAAAGCAATTTCATCGGTAAAAAGGTCTTTATATTCTTCCTGTATTCAACATGAATATTTAACGTGATTATAGAATGACCTATGGAAATATATACATTTAAATGATAATTATAAAGGCCTCATCGAAGTATATGTACACGTTCGGAATTACTGCTTTATTTAATATATTAGCTGAATCCAATGAACGTAATTAATAACAACGATCTCGTGGATCCAGATATCAGTAATTAGAACGAAACAAGAATGCACGTATTTATCAGCCTTCATAATGCCAAGTGGAGTAGATTGAAATAATTTATACACAAATGCAGGTGGTTAAAACGAACATAATATCTTCCATTCATCTTATTAACTCCAATTATTCATTATGAATAAAACGAATGAGATGTATTTAACAAATTTCTTATCGTTACTATAGCTTTTTCTCTTTTGCATAATAATCCTTCTTCGAAATAGATTATCTCCAAATTTAGAAACTTATTCTAATTAAAGATGATGATTCATTTTCTCTTGCTCATTTAACAGCAAGACTACCAAATTAACCAAGATGACTGATACCGGACTTTTTATCTTTTCATTCCTTATTTTTAGTTTTGACAAATCGGCAGATCTAGGAGCAAGTACAACTGTCATTCTTCAGTTTTCATTCCTACCTGTCTATTTTCACCTTACCATATGTCGTGTCATTTTTCTCCAGGAATCGTGGTTTTCGCAAGATATTTTCGCCGACATTCATAGCCGGTCGATCGTATTATATCGTAACTGCGGCAGACCGGTTGGCAGCTTGACAGCTTAGAAAACAATGGTGCATCGACGCAATTTTATCGATGTACGATCGGCCGAGCAAGTCGATACTCAAGTTGATAAATATCAACTACTTTCCTTCGGTGCATTTCACAATGGACGTCCATCCGAAGTTTTGCACCAGCATCGTTACTATTCGTACAGTCGTACTGCTCGAGTTCACCTCCGTTGCGAACTTTTAATATCACTTTCGAGCTTACAAAGATCCTTTGACGTTGAATTTCTGTTCGTGTCAACGAGAATTCGGTAGGATCTTGCCAAACTTGTGAATCTTTAGACGGGGTAAGAATGAAAATATCACCTTCTCGAGTTTCGTTCTTGCTCTTTGAAATGCCGTCTTTGCTCTATACCTTCGCTAAACGAGTAAATTCATTCTGTTATACTCGTTGGATTCGGAAAATCATTTTATTTGTTTGACAATCATTTCGTGGTTCGACTGCGATCGTATTACTCGTAATTAATTCCAATTCTAAACAATTTCCTGTATAATTCGCATCGACCAAAATTATCATATTATAAAGCTACTCGTGTAGCAATTACATCTACTTAACCCTTTGCATACCTCGTTCGTCATATGCAATTATAGCACGAATTTAGTGGACAATTTCTACATCTCATACAGTATATCAAACATACGAGAAATAAATTTCAATTCACACCTTTCATACAGATATCTTTTATATTTCTTGCAAATGTAAACAGTTTTTAACATTGCTAAACGAATCATAATAACCTGCTCATGATATTTTATTTTTGCAGGTATTATGAACGTGCAGCTATTTGGACAGAATTAATGTCGACTTTTATTTAAATATAAGCATAATTATACATATTTATTTCCATTCTATTACTACGATTATTACTATCATTTGTGTACAGTATACTTAAAGTCGATAAGCTAATGAAACATACTAAGACACATACGTATCTTATCTCTGCAGAGGTACTTGGGCAGGCAAAGGATTGAATCGACTTCTCCATTCAAGTGTCCATTCCTTCACACTTTACTTATCCAGAAAACCCGTTACTCATAACTTGGAAAGAAGCACGAGAAACTTTATACGAGATGTAAAAAGTGGAGAAGAAAAAAAAGCGTCCCAGGGGAAAGTTGTTTCGGGAGCGTGCATAATGTACGAGGATACGGAAGATACTTCTGACATCGAGGAAGATTTCTTCAACGCGTTAGCGCTGCTACATTCGACGGAGGACGACAGCGCGGAGAAACTTCGTAAAATGCTCGATACGTCGATCGAGAAGAGGTATGGCTTTGACAAAACTTTGATGGCCAGGATGCCGAAGAAATTTTTACAGAGCACGAAAATCCGTGGCAAATCGTTCGCGAACGAGAAGTCGGAAACGTCACCGGGCAAGAAGAGCATCGGCGCGAAGAAAACCGGAAGCGTGTTACTTTCCGTGAATAACACGGAGAACGATTGGAAACCGCTGAGAATATTTAACGCGAATGTGGAAGACTGTAGCGAGAAGGGAGACATCCCGAGGATATCTATTCCGGACGAAGGGTCTGGAGATGGACTCCTCTGCAAGGTTTCTGTGATAATTTTATCAAATTATTTCGAATAGTAGATTAAAACTTTGTTTTAGCGTTGTACATAAAGTGTTGTACACTTAGTGTAAGTATTTAATACTGTTATTAATAATAATAATAATTTTATATTAATATTATTGTTATATTATTATATAATTATTACGATTATTATGTGAATCTTAATATTTTGTTTAATGTACTTGAATTTTTTATACGTTAAATGTTATACTAATATTTAAGATATATTAATAATAAATTTGTATTTATGCTACAAATATTTAACATATGCCAATCTTCACATTGGTAATTTGATAATACTGTTTCGCACATTTTGATTTTTAATTTAGTTTGGAATAACTTAATCCTAATATACCGAATTTTATTTCGTCGAATAAAAGGTGTGTAACGGAGCAAAGCTAGGACCACTGATACTGCTGGAATGTCAAGAGTGTCAAGAAGTCTATCATCCCCTCTGCCATCAACCCCCTGTCGTCGACATCGACGTCTACGATCCCAGAATCGTGTGGCGGTGTAGAAAATGCATGGACACCTCTTCCGTAAACTCTGCCACTGCCTTGGATGAAAAGAAAGTGAAAAGATCTCGTTCGCCCAACGACGAGGACAAAGCCAAAGAAGCTTCTACAAAGGTGAACAAACCGCAGAAATCGAATGGAAATCTTCTGAAAAATGAAGCTAGTATCGCTGATCAAACTTCGCCTGGTGAATATATACCATTTTATCTATTCCCATTCTAATCTGTTTATTTGCACGTAGAATAAATGGAAGATGTTTGTAACTATAGATATTTCCCAAAACACTGATTCTATCGATGAGGACACATCAAGCACGAAAGGTTTTCTGCATTTAAACCAGAAGACCACGAAGACTGCATCGTCCAGCCAATTAAGAAAACGAATTGGTTCCAAACTTTCAGTTAATCGTTCTATAGTAAAATGACAATAGTTATTAATTGAATATTAATAAATAATTATTGACTCCAATTTACAGCTTTTCTTTGCAATTCAGAAATTTGGTTTCTCATGGATTTACTATTTTTCTTTAGATTCTACTCTTGATGGAACGAATAAATCTGACATTAAACTACCTTGTATCGTTGTCATCTTTATTCGGTTTCTACAATTAATCCAAATTCTAAATGAACTTTATTTCATAAAATTCTACAAGGTAAACGAAAATATTCAGAGATATTGGTACATAATCGAACTGCGTGTAATGATTGAGAGATATTAATTAATCATCCAATTTCTGCCAAAGATAGTTTATAAAATAACAATCACTTTAAAATTCCACCTCACAAGTCTTGCAAAAATCGCCAATCTTCAATTTATGGTACTCCACAAAATACCAAGCAATGGGAAGAGGAAAAGACAGGAAACGCAGAGCATCAGTGAAGAATAAAATATTCGAACAAGTACATGCACGGTACGTTTTATTAGTTAATTACTTATTACATGTACAATGGAAAACGCATTTTCGAAACGTCTATCTCTCTTTCAAACAAATCCACGCTATTTCACATTTCACTCCCGTCAAAGAACACTCCAATCACAGCACAGAGCGCTTTATTTAATCCGATTACAGATGTTACCCGTAAACGCTACACCAACTCAGTCAAACGAACGTATCCTTCGAATGTGAAATCAGAAGAAGGAGGAAGTAAATAAATAAATGGAACACGAAGAAAGACACACGTTTGATCGCCTCACTCTCGTTCAACCCTCTATTTTGGTAATTTACAACATGTATCTATCATTGTCGCACGGTTCGTTCCGTTTGCGGTGTTCGTTCCTCGTATTAAGGTCAACGGAGTTCAATTACCTTCGGCAGCCATGCCGAAGTTTTAGTCAGACTTGATGCTCGATCACTTTCGCTCTAATTGATCGTGCGTACGAGAGAAGATCGAGCGTCCATGCGAGGCGCCAGAAAATTACAGACAGCCCCGAGCACACCTTGTTCCGTGACGAATCGTAAACCAGTTTTCTTTTAATCTTATCATTCGATTAATTCGTCATTCGATATTAACCCCTCTACAGTCTTTCTTATAGATTGATGCCGATTTTCTACTCTGAATTTTATTGCTAATTGAACATAGAATTATCGAGCTCGAAGGATTTCGAAATACCTGAATGCAGGTTTTGATAGATATTTTTGTTAAGCTAACAAGATCGTCAAACGATTAGGCGAAAATACAGTAGGAGGGTTAAATTCTTTGAATCAGATTGATCCATGGTATACAACGATGTATAGAATTATTTTTGAATTATTGGAAACTGATTTATAATCTTGGAACGAAATGTACTAGATTATGTTTTCTATAGTAGGTACAGTATAATTCGAAGACGTAAAAGAACGCAATGTGTTTATTTTAAATTATAGTTGAGATATTAAATGTAATTACTTCTGCCTTCTTTTTAGTTGATCTATAATTTTAATATCATATTTCGTTTCCAATAATAATTTACAATATTCGCTTCATGGACTTTGATTTAATAAACTAACCATTTGCACTGGATACCATTTTTTAGTACATTTTGAAATCCATTTAAAATAATTTTACGAGAAATAAAGCTTTTATCTTATTTAAAAGAATTTAACTTTTCATATATTAAATTACTGCCATTCTTGATAGTATCAATACGTATTGTCTCACCATCGTTAAACTCTATAATATCATTAAAAAAAAAAGTATAAATTTTAATTATAATTATAAAAGTATAAAATTTAAATTCGTCTTAATTGCAATTATAAAACGCTATAATATAATAATATCAAGTATCAATAGGATATAATGGGTAAAAATAATACACCGTGGATAAAGAAATTTTACAAAGTTTTCAAAAATGTCCACGTGGTTGTCCAGTGCAAAAAATTAACTGATTCTTAGACACAGTGGTCATAAGTCACGAAACTCTGCGAGATGTTTCATTAGCGAGATCCAATGCTCAAAACTAGAATTCTGTGATAATACATAACAGACTTGCGATTCAAAACGAGTATTAGTGTGAAAAGAAGAGAAAATCTCGAGAAAAATATAAATAACCGCTATTCTTTAACTACGTTAGCTTAATTAGGTACTCTACAGAAGACATTGCGTATACTTTGCGAACTTTTATACAAACACAAAAGCGTTATCATAATACAGCAATTTGTGCCGATTATCACAGAATTGTCGATCGCCTAAGTAATCCGCGTATCAAGAAATGAAAGCTGTAGAAAAAATTGATGCGTTTCAACGTATCGTCGCTTAAAACAATTTTGATAGCGTATTCGTGCTGGAAAGCACCGTGCATAAAAAAAACGTTCGTGTAGAAATTTCTTTTCGAATTTTTGGAAAAATTTGAAATTTTTCATCTGGATAAACCGTAGACCAAAGCATTTTTCTAATTCCTCTCTAATTTGACCAAATGGCCATTCGTCGATATTTCCTAGAATCGAGTAATTCCTAGAAATCCAAGTTACGAGAGCCGTTTATCCAATCGATATGTCCTCGTTACATTGTTATTGCTAATTAAAATCCTCAATCGAGTCTACGAAGCTTCTGACATACGGAATTCCTAAATCTCTCGTGAAATTCATCGAGAAATAAATATATATATATACATGCCTTACTTGCAAATAACTATACATAAAATACGGACTTGCAACTAAATCTCTTTACTCTAAAAGAAAAGAAGAGAAGAAATAATTCGAAAATCTTACGAGCAAATACTTTAATTAACTTCATCGTTAGCTTCACTTGCTAATTCCCCCTTTAATATTACTCTGTGATAGTGCGAACGTATTCTGGTAATAAAAGTCCCGCAACTTTCTCCATTGTGATCTCGACAAATTCGATCTTTTAAAGATGAAATTTTAAATACGCGGTAGAACTCGCGTTGTCGGGTTGTAAAAAGCACCTTTTGAAAGTACTAATGTGCGTGCATGCAACGATTTAGAGATATTAAATGAATAGTATGTATGTATATATACCTCTAAAATTTGTTCCAGCATTTTTCATCCCTCTTCAACCCTCATAAGAGGGTATTCCAGTCTAGAAGAGAATTTCTTAACTGATTTGTAGTATACGCGAAAGAAATATCACTTTTGAACGTATTTCGTACAATTATTCTTCGCTTTATGCAAGACTGAGGTCATTTGGACAAATGGCAGCACAGATTGAACATCTTGTGGCGCAAATGAAGTATTTCAGCATCTTCTCTTAATCTATGCAAGTGTGAATGTCGTCTGAACCAGAGCAGGTAATGCAATGTCGAATTTTTCAATTTCTTTTCTTCGTTTAATCTCTGAAAGAAAATTTATTTCCAATTCAAACGACAGTCACATGTTACATTATGTACGTGCAAAAGCGCAAGATAATTGGCCTGATAGTTCTCGAGGAAAACTCGTTTAAAATTCTCCGCATTGGTATAATGTGCGTGGCATAATTTCGGCAATTTTACGAATATCGTGTTAACATTTTAGGAACACATTTTTATGGCTCGAGCCACGAGAAAATGCAAACGTCCAAAAATCGAAACTTCGTACCTCCTAGATTAGAACACCCTCTTAATCATCGAATGATCGATCTTCGTCACCGTCCCTTCTTAATCCCAGTATTAATCGCGATAAAATGATTTCTCCCGCTTTATCCCCGTTATTTTTCGACTATATTCGTGTCTGTATATCTGTGGGTTTGTGTGCATTTGCTCTATGTACATGTACGTAAGGGGAGCAAAGTGCAAGTGTGGCGATTTTAATATATAATCGTTATAATTATAGTGGTGGTATCACTCTGCTCCAGAACCCGCTTTGAACTACTTTACATAATAAACCTCATGTCCGAACGGCGCAAGGAGACGTTCAACCTAATTCATGACAGTGCCATCGTGCCAAGTGGCTGACATCAATTAAATAAAGATTCTGACACATGTCAAGGTTGCTCCAAGTTGCACCTCGTCAACGCATCGTGTCGCTCTGGCATCGACGACGATGATACTACTTTACATAAACCGTGTTAGGTTTCTTCGTCCCTTGACCGCGAGCGACTGCTCGTTAAAGAATCATGCTCGTTTATGTAACGGTAACAGTTATGTACAAGCTTTCTATAAAATCATATACCGAGATGAATCACGATGAATACAATGCCATCTTCAATGTATGTATTAATTGTCAATGCATATCCGTGAGCCCTGGCGTACAAAGTGTTTCGGGACGAGGGTAAAAGATTTTAAAGAATTGTTCGAGGGATTATTTCTTGTGCGAAAGATACTGTATCGATATAGGTTTACATGATCATTTCCTCTTCATAATTAGTCGAACGATAGAAATTCGAGTTTAGTATAATTATGTAATTATTTTTTGAGCTTAATGGTACTGCAACTTGTGGATATGAAAAATTGTAAAATCTCTTTCTAATATAATATAATATAATAACAATATAATATAATATAATTCAATTCAAGATGTTAGTATAGTAAAAAGATTGATATTAGATTGCTTTAAATTGTCCTTCGTTACTCTGTTACTCATATTGTGACATATTTTATGCTTATAGGTAAATATCAGAGTGTAGAATGTATCACAAAATCGTTCGAATAATTATATAAAACGTTTTATCGCAATTGTAATAAAATCATCAATTTTATTATAATAGTATTCGAATCGTGGTCCTTAAGCTCGAATATAAACATTGCACGGGCAATTTAATAAATTACTGCGCTGATGATAATTATGTTTATCGGGTGTAACGCGTTTATTACGGGAACGATAAATTTTTAAACAATAATTAAATCTATATCGATACTTTCATAATTTCGGCAATTTTACGAATATCGTGTTAACATTTTAGGAACACTTTTTTATGGCTCGAGCCACGAGAAAATGCAAACGTCCAAAAATCGAAACTTCGTACCTCCTAGATTAGAACACCCTCTTAATCATCGAATGATCGATCTTCGTCACCGTCCCTTCTTAATCCCAGTATTAATCGCGATAAAATGATTTCTCCCGCTTTATCCCCGTTATTTTTCGACTATATTCGTGTCTGTATATCTGTGGGTTTGTGTGCATTTGCTCTATGTACATGTACGTAAGGGGAGCAAAGTGCAAGTGTGGCGATTTTAATATATAATCGTTATAATTATAGTGGTGGTATCACTCTGCTCCAGAACCCGCTTTGAACTACTTTACATAATAAACCTCATGTCCGAACGGCGCAAGGAGACGTTCAACCTAATTCATGACAGTGCCATCGTGCCAAGTGGCTGACATCAATTAAATAAAGATTCTGACACATGTCAAGGTTGCTCCAAGTTGCACCTCGTCAACGCATCGTGTCGCTCTGGCATCGACGACGATGATACTACTTTACATAAACCGTGTTAGGTTTCTTCGTCCCTTGACCGCGAGCGACTGCTCGTTAAAGAATCATGCTCGTTTATGTAACGGTAACAGTTATGTACAAGCTTTCTATAAAATCATATACCGAGATGAATCACGATGAATACAATGCCATCTTCAATGTATGTATTAATTGTCAATGCATATCCGTGAGCCCTGGCGTACAAAGTGTTTCGGGACGAGGGTAAAAGATTTTAAAGAATTGTTCGAGGGATTATTTCTTGTGCGAAAGATACTGTATCGATATAGGTTTACATGATCATTTCCTCTTCATAATTAGTCGAACGATAGAAATTCGAGTTTAGTATAATTATGTAATTATTTTTTGAGCTTAATGGTACTGCAACTTGTGGATATGAAAAATTGTAAAATCTCTTTCTAATATAATATAATATAATAACAATATAATATAATATAATTCAATTCAAGATGTTAGTATAGTAAAAAGATTGATATTAGATTGCTTTAAATTGTCCTTCGTTACTCTGTTACTCATATTGTGACATATTTTATGCTTATAGGTAAATATCAGAGTGTAGAATGTATCACAAAATCGTTCGAATAATTATATAAAACGTTTTATCGCAATTGTAATAAAATCATCAATTTTATTATAATAGTATTCGAATCGTGGTCCTTAAGCTCGAATATAAACATTGCACGGGCAATTTAATAAATTACTGCGCTGATGATAATTATGTTTATCGGGTGTAACGCGTTTATTACGGGAACGATAAATTTTTAAACAATAATTAAATCTATATCGATACTTGTGCATAATCTCTCAAACAAAAGATCTAAAATTATTACACCTCTTTCGAAACGTTCTGTATAGCGTAAAATAAACTACCCTTGCCTCTATCTTATAAAGATAATGTAGTAATATATAGCAGTGTATGTTTCACATGTGTGCATTGTGTGGCAAATGGCTACAGATATAGAAACTCGTTTAATTTTGAAATATTCGAATAAATTAAAATAACAAACGGTACCACCATAAACACGGCCGGTACCGTCAGAGTATCGGAAATAAGTGATTCATTAAAGATATTCCATAGCTAGATTTATCATCGATGATACGATGCCAATAAGATTGATACATGCATAGTATCTTTAACAGATCACTTGGCACGGATTTTAATGTCTGGTACCGATAAATTAATTCGCAATGATTCGCAATTATTTCTATGTGGCGATTAGAAACGAGTACAAACGCTTGCTTTTGTATTACAATGGGAACCATCAAGATATGTTACTTGAATGATTGTACGCGACTTACATTCCTTTCGTGTGCTTTTAAACACTTGACAACTGAATCGCCTATAATTTAACGATAGTTCTATACATTTCAACAGAGGGATTGTTGCGTAATCGTTTAGTATATGCGTATATTGAAACACATTTGATGGTCATGTGTTGTTAGCGGAACGTTAAAAAGAATGTCAGAAAACGAAGTTTCTTGTACGAAAATATACCGGATAAATATATTTCTGACTATTTGCGTTCGAAATAAAGTTCTTGAGGAACGCGGTGACGATATTATTCATCCAGTGTCCTCGGAATATTATGCATAGTGTTCGAGATTTATAAAACTGATTCCAGTAACTATGATTAGTGTGTTTTATCACAAATATTATTTTTTTCTTATTTAATGCTCTCTGTGCAATATTGACACGAGGCTCTTGCTTATAAAATTTGGTACAAACAGTTATTCGAATCAACTTCAATTTGTTCCGTGATTTTTGGACGTAATGTTCATGCTTTGGTCGGGAATATATCGTACAAGATAATCATTGATTTCACTTTCTGTTTGCATATTCTCGTCTATCTTCGTCGTTATTTCTTAAATGCCAATTGTGTTGCACTTGAAGATCGTATGCTAAGTATATGAATATAGGCAATAATCCTTACATTAATCCTTCATAACATAATATTGCTATAATCCATATTACGTGAGTATCGTGTAACTTATTCCTTTTTGGTTATTATTTCTTTTCTTGCATTTTCACATAGCGTACGATTCGTATATTATTTAAACACGATAAAATATATTAATGGTATTACAGCTGTACAATGATGAACAATATTTCTACTGTATCTTAAATTAAGATTACATACACTTATTTCATGAACGTACCCTCATTGAAGACGAAAGACACGTTAATGTAAATGCATCCTACATGCTAACAATGCGTCAAAAACTCGTGACATGATAATGATGACATTTTAAAACAAATAAAAACAGAAGAAAAATGACTAGAATTAATTATCGACTAGAATTCTTACTTTGTAAAGAACTTCTAAGGAAGCAGTTTAAAAATCAGAATAAATTAGCACATGCGGTTTTTTATACTAATAATAATTTCTTTTTCCGTTGAATCGACTCGTAGAAATTAAAATATGAAATTTCGCTAGTCTGGACTTACAATATTATACATATATTGTTTGTATGTAGGATACATATATGTCTCGTATCGCTACAAGTTTTCACTACCTAAAAGGCCATTAAAGATTTTTCTCATTGCCTGGGAAGATACCAGTGCCATACTTTGGAAGCGCTAGATTTTTTTTCAACTTTTTTTTCCTTTTAGCTTTTTTACCTTCAATTGTGCTTTTTCATATGGAAACGATTGTAAAGTGTATTTATAATGAAAGTCATTGGACAGAGAAAATGCTAATATAAAAAGTACCTAATATGTTTGTAGCATTACATAAAAGATTGAATAAATTAAGTATTATGTAGTTAAAATCAGCTACTAATAAAGATTGTGCTTCAAGCCGTGTATCCACCAAATATAGAAAACATCTTTTTAATAAAATAATGTACTTAAATAATTTAAATACTTATTAGAATAAATATGTCATAGAGAAATATCTTAAAAAACATTGTTAAATATAGATCGAAATTTTAATTTGTAATTAAGATACGTTAATAAAAAAAAAGTTTAAATTACTACAAGTGCAATGCAGATTTTACATTTGTAATACTTTATCCTAAAATAAGAGAATTTTTGAATATTTGATTTTATTAAATTTTTGATTTCATTTAGTATATATCTATTTTATTAAGAAATATTTACCAATATTTATCAGTGGATACTCAGCTATGTATAATATAATATTATATACTTTTTCACTTTTGGCAATAGCACTTCCAGACAGTGGCAGTAGGCACTTTGATGACAATAATAAGATAATAATGAGTATAAAATATTACAAGTTAATCCACCTTTAAGGCAGGTAAACCATTCCCAACAACCAGTTGCTCCTTGGGAAAGTCTAGAATTACGGTTACATGAAAACCCATATTTGCAGAGGCAATCACATATTCGCATAAGGAAAACCAACTAAATGCTGTTAGGAAAAAGATTGTAATAAGTCTCACATAGTGTGACTTTAAATGTAAATCAAATTTAAGCTTATATGTATGTATCATTTATAATTGTAACTTATTCACATTTTCATACAAATTTGTTTAAAAAGAAATAAAAATTGTTATAAACACTTACGCTTAAATTTCATATGCGATATCAATAATTGTAAACTATTAAATTTTATTAAAATATGTGAATTTTCTTACCCAGATCGTGACATAGTAACCTGTGCTTTAGGAAGAAAATAATAAGACCAACAGTACTAACAAGACTGGTTACAAAAAGTGCCTGTTTATACTGAAGACTTCGTGCATTTGGTGTTATGAGACGACCCAATCTCACTTTTGTCAACATGTATGTTAGGGAACTAATCATAAAGGCAATGAAGATTTTTTCATGCACAGCTGGAAAATAGAAATTAATTAAGTTATAATCATAAATTTAATATTGTAAACTAATAATTAATTTATAATGAATTATTAAATAATTATATTATGTTGTTCTTTATAAATTAGTATATTGTATAAAGTATTTTGTTTCTACTTACAATAATTTTCTCTGTTAGAGATGTATGTAACACCACATAGAGCTGCTACTTCTGCAATGCTTAACCAATAACATAGATTTAAAAGTCTACATCCCATAATTTTGGAAGGTATATCTTCAATTGCTTTAAGTATTTTATAATAATATGAATGATATACACTAGCAATTATTAATCTAGGACCTATATGTAGAGCTATACTTATACGCCACAAATATCTTTGAGGAGATATACCAGTAACAGCTGAGATTGATGGAAGTACATTATAAACCTAAAATTAAAAAGATTTAAAATTAATAAATTTAATATAAAACACAAAATCATGATTTAAAAAGAAACAGTCATATGAGTTCCCTACCCTGCAGTGTGTTTCATGAATATCGTCTTGTTGGAAGATATAAGCTGTAACAAAACAGACTAAAAGTGTCACAAGAGGTAAAGATACTGTTGCTAAGCACAACTTTCTAAACGATATTGCCATATATATGGAACTTTTATTATTTCCCACATTATTTAATTCCATAATGAAATTATTCAATATTTTGGCATTTAAGCACAAAATAAAAGGCGAGTTTTAAAAGATGTAAGATCCAAATCAGTCTACATTAGGACTATGTCTCCTTTCAATTATTATTAAAAATTTCAAAATATTTCTTAAACATCATAATATGCCTGAAATAAAAAACAAAATTTTATGTTAATAAAATAACGAATCATTGAAGAATACACTGAAATATAATCAGTTTTTTAAATATATTCACATACCATATAACATATATATCATCACAGTGATGAAATTACATACTGCTTCACATATGATTACAGGTAAAACTAATATACCAAATATAATTATATATTATTCACAATAAAATTGACGTGCAAACACATTGTTTATATATTTATTTTGCTTTTTATTAAATAATTAAGCCAAATATGTTACAATGAGCAATTTATGAAATAAAACAGAAATAATTCTAAAAAATAATCAAAACTATAACATGTTTGCTCTTTATTGTCAAATTTTATATATGGAATAATAAAATATTTAGTCAAATGCTCTATTTTCGGGATTGATTTTGCAGATAACCTACTTTTTCTATTTATAGCAAACAAAAGGCACTGTCATGGGTAACGCGAAGTTCGTGACATTTGCCTGGAGGCGATTTATTATGACACTTAATACTTCTGCATGGAATCCGCAATAGTAATCAAATTTTATTTACATAAGAAGCAACTCGATGCGAAAATTTTCTTAATTCATTAAAAAGCCGCCAGTGAATATTTTTATTTCTTTTATTCTTACTTTTTCGTGAGGATATATATGAAATTACTTCACTCAAGTGGTTATATCTACATAGCAATGCATTAAATACGCATTAATAATTACATTGTTAATTTATTTAGCAAGCAGCTAAGAACTTATTTCAACATTCATAAATTTTTGTTCAGAAATTGAAGCATGTATTTTAGTCAATATATAAAAGATAAACAGCAGATATAATGTGTGAGGGACTAAATAACTTTTTAATGCTGTAATTATGTATGTCGGAACTTTCATGATGTGTTATGTTTTCAAATTAATAATAATTTATCGAAGTCAATATTCTGTCAAGAGCAATTTGTTCATTCATGTTCATTTATGATCTTCATGCAGAAAATCGGGAGAATTTACCTTGTTCCTTGTGTACAAACGTGTCGTCTGCTAGTCTGTGAATTTCTGTTTGAAGGAATGCCATCTGTGATTTAATATTTCTAGAGTACTTCAAGTTAGCGCCAATTTTAAATCATTTCATTAATCACAAAAAATGAAATTTTATTTATACAAAAATATTATACTAAAAGAACAAATTTTAGAATTATTCAGGGATTGTACTTCAAAAATTATAAATTTATAACTTTATTAGAAATATAATTATAATTAAAAATTTATTATGCTCGTTCTTTCTCATGTTGTTCTTCCTCCATTTCATATTCAATTTCAACTTTCGGACGAATCTTCTTTTGTAATGTTCTTTTCTTGTCAATTGGTTTCCTACTCTTTTTACTTCCAACAGGTGATATATCCTACAATAATAATAATTTTAAATGAAATTCTATTATAGGTAAAAAGAAATATGAATAATTTCTTTACTTCAATATCGCTCGTTTCAGATGCGAAATCGTCGAATAATTCAATTTCTTCTTTTTGTCCTGAATCACTATCTTCATCCTAATAAAATAGGTCAATTAATATATACAAATATGTAATGAGAAAAATCTGTAATTTATATTTAAATAAAACATAAATTACCATAGACAGTTCTTCAACGTCAGAGTCATCTTCCTCATTTTCCTCATCAGTTTCTGCTTCTACGAAATGTTGCTCGTTTGTTTCCTTTTCTCTCTCATCTGCTTCTAGTTCTAACTCCACTTCTTTTTCAATTTCTTGTTCCTTTTCTTCTTCTTCATCCTCAGCTTCGCTTTCACCTTCAACTTCAACAGCTTCTACAGCTTTATCAAATACTTTTTGTGGGAAATTATAAATATCATTGTACTAAAAAAGAAAAAAATGATTGCCTTTATATGATTAAAGCAAAGTATTGACACTTGTATATACATATTAATTATAATGAGAAAAATACATGCCATGCCCTGTTTTAATCTTTCCATAAGTTGCTTTTCTATTACATTTTCTAATTTAGCAGCTACAAGAGCTTTTTCTTCTCTACGCCTCTCCCTTCTTTCAATTTTTCTTTGGATTGGTACAATTTCTTTCTGTCTTCTTAACCTTAATTTTCTCATACGAATGAGATACTGTGTAATCTTTACAAATCTTTGTTTGCATTTTGCTTTTATAAAACCAGGCCAGTACAATAAATTTTCATTAATTTGATGTAGTGCTTTCTCAAAATTTCTTGATAGCTTCACCTTTTCCCACGCATTTTTTGGAAAATGTATTCTGTAAAAGGCATGATACATACATATATTACATATATATATTACAATATTAGGTGATCTTATAAAAAAATTTAACTTCTTGGCTAAATTTTGACCTTTCTGCTGTTCTCATGAATAAGTAAATAATACCATTTTCTTCTCTGATTGTTGCATATTGACTATTTGCAAGTGGACAAGATGATCTACTACATAAACCTGTAAGATTATATTCATTGCGGCAAAATCTCTGTGATTTGGTACTGCAAAAATAAAACATAAATTAAAATTATAATATATAATAAATATATACTTTCTAAATAGTACATACTTTACTTTGAAAGAACAAAAAGACTTATTGATAACACTCCAAACCACCTGAAATAGTACAATATTAAATGACATATCTGTAACTAATACAAGCAATTTGTAATAGACTCACGTCGTCGTGTTGCATTTTATATTTTTATTATGTTACGTTTTACGAAAAAATGTTATAATAGTCATTGAAGTATTTACAAATTAACTAACTAAACTTATAAAGTATGTACACGTGCGTTCACAGATTCTAGAACGCCACAGGTTATATGTAGTTCGTCTTATGCAGTTCACGAATAGATAGCGCTACTGGTCCCTTTTTATACTTATGTGAAATATGCAATTAGAATCAGCCATTTCTTAGTTCAAATTGCGGGAGAGATGACAATAGCAGGTTAGAATTAAAGTTAAAGGTAATTATAAAACTATGTATAAGGTATGAGGTAGGATATCTTAGAATTTGAGATGTAGTATAAAATTTTATATTTCTATAATATCTGTTTAATCTTATGCAGATTTCTATTATATGAACGAAAGAAAAAGTTGATTGCAAAATGATTCGATTAGAAACTTTTTACAAAGTACATTATTCTTCCGTATATTATTAATATAAATATTTAATTATATACAGTTTTATAGCTTAAACGATGTATAATTAAAACTGTATGATATAGTAATGTAATTAATTATAATTAGTATGGTTATAGATTAATACTGTAACAAGCTATATGTATATATATGTTAGCTACATGTATATATAAGCTCTACTTCGTAATCAAATTAATTTCATAAAATTATAATCTTTCGATAACATATATTTACCGATAATCGTCAATATAGAAATTTTTATATTTTTTGAAATTCTAAAATAATAGTATTCGGCAAAATTTAATTATTAAACGTCTATTAATGTTGAAATTGATTTCGAAGTTTATTAATACGTTACAATGTTTAATCTTTGCATTGTGATAGGGCGTTACCTTCTGTAGACAACTAGAGTCATCTTATGTTTATTTTAAATTTTATTTTATTTAAATAAATGTAAATTGATATACAATATTAAAATGCAAATGTTAACAAAATTATTTATAAATTTAATACATATCATATTTAGTTAATTTTTATCATAATTTTGTAATATATTACAAGTCAATATTTTTCTAGTTTAACGTATTTTTCCGCTAGATAAAGACAGAAACAGTTTAAATTTATACGTTAAATAGTCGCCTTTTGAAACACCCGAAAGTACGCTAATGAATAGAATATTCGCGTGTCAACCGAAAAACTTGAATAATCAAATGACTTTTATGTACCAGTGGAATACTTTGAAGGGGTTGGACGCCTGCGGAAATAACCCTCTGCAAACTAATCACTGGATAATGGACAAATTTATATTCGTGCGTCTGCCCGTCGACCCTTGATGCTGGTAAAATGTCATCCCGTGTACAACTATGTACTTTGAGCCATTCGTGGTCCCATCTACGATCCAGTCAAGTTTCTTAATTAAGCTTCCATTTCTTTAAACTACTTTGTTAAGTTTACGATCATTCAGTTCGCCGTGGGACAACAAAATTTCAAAGAATTTGCGGATTTTCTCCAAATAAGTAAGTAAATTTATTATAAAAATACATTTTACTTTCTTTTTATTTGTAAAATATTAAACGTTATCTTTAATTTTAACATGTAAGGTATTAGTTTGTGAATATGTTTATACATTCATATGCATTTATAGACATGTGTATTAAAAGGTTATTTATGCATTCTGATTAGTAAAAATAATAAATTTTTTATTTTTTATATAAACTCTAATTTTAAATAAAGAATAATATAATTTATTATTTTCGATCTAGAGATCGAAAGAATCTAAATCATGTTAAATGCGTCATTTGATTGGATTTGAAATTAAATTTATTCCTCTTTATGAAGAAAGTGAAATTAAAAATTTGGTAATTTGAAATCAAATGATTCTGTATTAGAGAATAATTATTTTGTTCTTTTTGAACTGCTATTAATATAAAAATGCATTTAGTATCTTAATGTTTATTATTTTTACTATTGCGCATTTTATATTTATTATTAAAGCATTATAAATTTATATCATTAAAATTTCCTTGTTCTTATTAACTTGCATTGAAAAGCAGAGGTATTTTTCTAACTATATATATCTTAGTTTTCAACATAAATTAATAAAGTCCAAAATAAATAAAAGTATATGTACATAATTAAAAATATTTGAGTTATGGAGAAATATAAAATTTAATTTTAAAACGTTTGATAAAAGATAAATATATGTCCAAATACTTTTTGTAGCCATTGCAAGCCAATTTTATACATCATTTTCCTTTTTTTCAAAACAGGATAAAATTCTCATAAACCTCCCACGCATGAAGCTCAAAGAAAATCACCGACGTCGTCAAGCTCGAATGGTAACAATTACAATTTCCAAAAGAAAAATGCAATACTGGTTAGTGGTAAGGGTGATTGTCGTTAAAAGCAGCGATCTTGCATTAGAAAGAGAAAGAATAGATAGATGTATATTCGAAGCCCAGAGGCGTTTGCATGTTCCTGGCTCCATGTCCGAGAGAGCATGCTTCCGCCTGATCGCCCACATACATTTTCGTTAAAACGCGTGTTCCGTTCGTTTCATTAATTTTAATGCCCGCCGAGCATTCTGTTCATTTCTGTGCAACATATGAATATGGGATTCGCCTATATTCTTCTCTCTCGCTCTCTCTATCAGAGAATAGCATACAGGGTACACACACGGAATTCTCTAATGTGTATAGGAAACCTATAGGGTGTTCCAGAAGTATTGGTCAATCAAGTAGGCGGTGATAGGGAAAACACGAAAAAATGTATCTTATTTGGTGAACAAAATATTTCATTTTGTTTTTATTTTTTAGTGACAGAACTTAAAAGGTACTGAGCTTGGACGACCAGTGATGAGGAATAATCTATAGACTGCTTTTATGGAGTTAATATTATTAACGAAATTGCAGTATTTTATTATTTATATTTTTGATATTTCTTACATTTTTGATAATTTTATCTTTATGTGGGGTATAAAATGAACTGTATTTAGAACGCAATTTTAGTACAATTCTATAGTTAATATTGTTGTTATATTTGTTAGAATATTGAAAATTATATTTTTGTAATTTGTACTGTAAATTATTATAAATTATTTTGTTACCGTTAAAATTTAAGTGCAAAATCGATGCAGCATAGTTTCTTATTGAATAATATACTACTTTATACTGAAAGCTTCACAGAAACTGAATGGAACCAGTTTGTATAGAGTGGAATAATACATGTTAAGCTAATTAATAAATGTCTGAGTCTAGCATCTTCATAGCTCTGTTGCTAAAGAGTAACATATAGAAACTTCCCCATGTATTATTGTAATACATTAACATAATACAAATTTTTAACCAAAAGAGAACATTGCAAACTTACTCTTATGTATTATGTGTAGTATAATACAAGAAATAGGGTTACAAGCCATTAGTCATAGAATTACAAATTTTCTATCTCAAAGTACATCATGTACATATGAGACCCAAATTACATACTATTGATGCTGGATTCAGACATTCATTAATTAGCTTAACACGTATTATTCATATTTTTGCACTTAAATTTTAACGGTAACAAAATAATTTATAATAATTTGCAGTACAAATTACAAAAATATAATTTACGATATTCTAATAAATATATGAACAATATTAACTATAGAATTGTACTACAATTGCGTTCTAAATACAGTTCATTCTAGTACTAGTTTCTCAAACATAAAAGGTCTCGACTAACATTTTCCCAAATCTTATCTTTTGTACTTCTTATTATATTACATCGCTGTGAAATGACTAGGGAAAAAGTATTCTCTGCTATCCTCTGCTCTATTGACCCGCACTTCTGTAACACCCAGTACACACATGAGTCTGCACGCATGTATGTGTGTGCCTGTACGGGCCACACATGTACACACGCACAAACATGGAGTGGTTCGGTTTTCCACGCCGGTGTCGGCTACGTATGAGAGAGCAGCGAACTCGCTCATGCGAACACGGCCCCGGGTTGGTTGATATTAATTAATAATCAGAAACAGATGCGGCCTCAGCCCGCTCCCAGTTCCGTGCGAGGCGGCTTCGAAACGATAATTATTTAAGTCTCTCTCCTCGCCTCCATCGGCCCACCGCTGCCACCCCCGACCTCCACCCTTCGCCTCGTGCACACTCCCACAGTCAACCACCCGGGCTCGTCTTCTTCCTCTTCCGTTCCTCATCCTCCATGGAAGTTGCAGCTCGAGCGTGGCTTCTCCAGCGCGCCCAGTGCGGCGTGCTAATTAAAGAGCATTCGCCTACGAATTTTACGCGGCTCTCGGTTCGTTATGCACGGCCCGTTTGTCCCGGCACCCTTTTCCGCAGCCCCCGTTAACCCCGGTTCCTCGGCAATACCCCGGAGACCTTGTGCCACATTTTATTTTCGATTCGCTTCCGTTCGCGACCGATCGCGGTTCTCCTGAGGCGGATTCGCGGATGAAGGGAACGATGAGGGGGGGTTAGTGTAAGTAAGGGGGTGAGTTTCGAGAGCGAAGGAATAGGAAAATGAGGGATCGACGGGGGATAGAGGGTGAGAAAAGGAAGGAGAAGATGGAAGAGTCGAGGGATGACAGAGTGAAGATACGAGAAAGCTGGGTAGAAGGACTGGTAGATAGAGGAGCAAGATGAGGGATGAGGGATGTGAAAGGTTACTGAGGAAGCGAGTGAGAGTTGGTGGTGTGAGAGGATAGTGGGAGAGAATGGAGGAGAGAGAGAGAGAGAGAGTGAGAGAGAGAGAGGGAGGGATTGGCGAATGGTTCGCAATGCGTGGAGCGATGGTGGAGAGGATAGGGCTGAGAACGACGGGGAGAAAAATGGATGCCGGATGAACAACGAACCGCGTCTCGTCTCGCGAGATCCCGCTGGTTACGAATTACGAGGATTTGGAGCAGAACGACACGCATTAAAATACATCGAACAGTATCCGTATAGATGTGTAGGAATTGTTACGTTGGGGACTGATTGAAGTCTCTTTTCCATTGGTTTCTTTCTTTGGAGGTGGTGGAGGGTTTAAGGGGTTTTAAGTATCGTCGAGGTGATAGGCGGTATGAAGTTGATCGAGGTGCTGGAGGTGGTATGTGGGCGAGGGATATAGGTGGTGCTGGGTGCTTTTTGGGTGATGGATTTGGTGGATGACGAGGGTAATTGATGATG